ATTTGAAAAGTTTTAAATATTTTAAAATGTCATATTATTTTATGGTCATCAAATGTAAGGAATACGAATGGAACTCGATTTCTCATTCCGAAACGTTACCAAATACAAGACAACATAAATTCGCAAATTTCTTATCTCCTAAAAGTTATTTATTTCACTTCATGTTGATTAAACTTTATTTAAAGTTAATTAAACTTTAAATAAATCTAACTTTCCTCAAATAACGTTTCAGAAAAGTATATTTTATTTTGGAAAAATTGTTTAATAAAGAGATTTATGTTGTGTTGCCAGATATGACGATATATATATATATATATATATATATATATATATATATATATTATGAAATGGACATAGTCCGACAAATATTTTAAGACATTTTTATGTTTATACATTCTTTTATAGATACAAATATTTATGAAAATTTACTTAAATATTTGTATCTGTAAAAGAATGTATAAACATAAAAAAATGTTTTAAAAATATCTCTCTCTCTATCTATCTATCTATCTATCTATCTATCTATATATATATATATATATATATATATATATATATGAAAATTACTGTGTTGACTGATTCAACAATTTTCTTTTGATTTCTTGATACAGTTGTGTACGTTTGTTTGGGAGAGTAGTTTATATATATATATATATATATATATATATATATATATATATAAACGACAGATTTTACTTATAAGTAGTAAAAATTTTTAATTCAGTTTAAAATGCGCAAAACTATTTTGCTTATTGTGGATGTTAGTTTTAACGTATAAGCTTCGAATTAAAACTAAAATTGAAGCTTCAAGAAAGAATTTTTTTAATTTTTTCAAATTAATTTTAAACTTTAGGTTTCGCGCATATTTCGAGATAATCATAAAAGAGGAAGAGGATCACAATTTTTTCGTATATATATATATATATATATATATATATATATATATATATATATATATATATATATATATATACTACTTGTACTGATGCGGCATTCACCCTGGGCGAATTGAGCCGGCTTCTTCCTGTTATGAGAAGAAGATTCTTGGGATAAATTACAGAAGTAGGGTACCCAGGCCTACTCGGATAACGATGACAAAAAAGGAGACTTCCTGACAAATATATATATATATATATATATATATATATATATATATATATATATATATATATGGCTTCTAATGTTCTTGACAGTAGTCGTGGCTCGTGGGGGCACAGTCCTGAGTCCTTGGATGAGTTCCAGCATGTGTATATGTGATCGAGTGGCGCTATATAGAGTCTAATTCATTACCTCTTTGTCACCGAGGCCTGTTGGTGCAGTTGGTATGACGTAACTGTCCAGGTTTCTCGGTAGTGGTTGCGCACTGCTGATGAGTCCTAAATATTTATAAACGGTCGTCCAGTGCATTCTGTTGAGGTTTCTTCTAGACTCGATGAATTACTTAATTATAATTATCTCAAATCCTCCTAATAATTTCTAACACTTATATATACTATATATGTATGTATGAAAAATTTCGCAGAGTTAACCTGTAGAAAAAGACAATATTTATAAATGTAAAAGACAATAGGAAAACTGAAATTGTCGCCGACGCGTTTCGTCCAATGTGAACTTTCTCAAGGCGAAAAACGAAATGAATTTATATAAACAAAGTAACAAAATAACAAAAATAAAATGTTCTTAGCAACTGGAAGAATTTAGAGAACGCTATTTTCGTACTGTTAACTGAAAATTACGTCAATTACTGTCACATGTGGAGATATTGTTTTTATTGCTGACGGATTCAAACACTTCCAAATATGGATATACTCAGATCCTCAAACACTAATAACAATAGTATTTCTGAAGCAGGCATTTATAAAATAAATTGCCAAAACTGTTCCTCCCAATATATTGGAGAAACAAGTAGAAATTTAAAAAAACGCATTTATGAGGACAAAAGAGGCCTCACAAAAAACAACTTAACTAAGGCACTAGTCATATATAGAAATAAATTCAACCACAATTTTGATTTTAAAAATGCTACACTCATAAAAAAAGAAAATAACTCACTCAGAAGGAAAATCCTCGAGAGTGCCGCCATTGAATATTTCCCAAATATTAATCTACGCCCAGGCTTTTTCCCTATTTTACCTTTCTTAAGAGAATTACTACTCTCCCAAGCAAACGTACAGGACAGCATCAAGAAATCAAAAGAAAAGGGTTGAATCTGTCAGCAATAATAACAATATCTACACACGTGACAGTAATTGACATGCCTTAAACATGCCCCATCCATAAAAAAATGTTGAAATGTCGAATGTGAGTAAGACTTATTCTAATGATAGGTTCACTTTTCCGTTGCTTACCATCTGGAAATAAATTCATGGAATTATTGAACTTCATCCTGTTGCAAACGTAAAGCAAAAACCATTTTTTTTTCTTTTTAACCAATTCATTTGAATCACTCTCATTATCGTAATCCCCGTTATTCCTTTCTGGTTTTGTAAACCGGAAGTCACACCAGCTCAAAAGATTTAACCGGACATTTGCCATCTTAAATTCGGCAGCCATCTTTGTTGTTTTTAATTTCACTGGAAAAAGCGATCTTACATTTTAAAAAGTTAAATTACATTTTCAATAACAGGAAAAGGCACTAAAATACGAATAAAACAGTTTGATGAGTGGAACGACGACCTTGCCTTGTTTATTGCCTTAAGAAATTCATCTATAAAAATAATTAAATCTATTAAAAGGTCAAAATTCATGGTATACATGTACATTTTAATAAAATCAACTCAAACAGATCTTCCACAAAGCATAGCCTTCTTTGAGATTCAATATTATTGATTTAATGTATCGAAAATATACATTTATTCAATTAATATTGCTTATTGAATATATTGCATTCCATCTGTATTCCCTGGACACTTGATATTAAAGAGAGAAATATTTTCATTGATCATAAACTTTTCGTACTGATATTTTAATATTTTATTTGTTTTTCTCTCATTTTTTCCGACCTTCTTTGTTATTTCTCCACACTTAAAGGAGAAATGAAAACCCTTCACTTCAATTAAAGATTATCGAGAAGTAAATTTCGAAGGCGAAGCAGAAACATTTTCGAATTAAAAGGAGGCACATCGATTCATATGGAATTCACTTAGATTAATCGATAAGAAAACAAACAGGAAAGTGCATCATGAGCAAAAACTAGCATACATACGTGTACGGACTTCGAAGTCAGAATTATCTGTATTTGACTATTAAGGCGTTCCATATAAAAAAATAGTATATTTCTTATTTTCTTTCATATCTTTACGATCAGATTTGATTATTTCACTGTAGAAGCACTGGACACCAACATTTGGATTTTAAAACTGCTTCACAGGATTAAGTGAAAAAAAAAAAGAACGAAAAACAATCCTGAGTGTTACAGACACAGAAGACCAAAACGTTGTGTTAAAAACGAAATGGGAAGAATAAACCGTTTTGGGATAATTGAGAATAGAATCTTAGGCGAATGTTCAAGAAGTCCAGTTTTTGCGAAAGATATTCACTATAAGATTTTAATTCTTGCTTCAATAATACCGAAACATAATCGACAGAATAAATTTGCATAATTCATCTGCAATATCTTCAACAAGGAACATTCAACCGACAAACCGCAAAGAATATTATTAACTCAAATAAATTATCGTATTTGACGACATATAAGGCGCACTTCTTTTTTTCACTAAAAATATCTTTTAAAATTACCTTTTGTCTTATATGTAAGTTTAAAATTCGCGAACGAAATTAGATGAAGGCATTATTTAACAACGATGATAATAGTATTGAAAATGAGTATCAGAGTTTTGATAACAAAGACAACGAATTTTATAGATTTGAAGATGAATAAAAATTAATTGGTAACTGTTCTGTTTTGCTCAATTGTAATAATTGCTTGATTTTTATTTTGTTTTCTTACCTTGGGATATAATATAGTTTTTTTTTATATACTCGTGTTCTTTTTTTCCTGTTATTTTTCATTTAATTGTAAGCATAGCTTGTTTAAATAAAACAGCACTTCATAAATATAACCTAAGCTGTACCATTTACTAATAATTTTACTAATTTTTTTCTTGATTTGCCCTGCTTAAATTGGGGTGCGTCTTTTACACCGGTGCGTCTTATATGCCGTCAAATCCGGTACTTTTATACATTTTATCAGTGACGACATATTTAGATCCATATTGGTAAATATTGACCACAAAGGACCAACAGGAGTAATGATTGGGGGTGGGGGCGATAAACGCCTGCTTGTGAAAAGGAGGTCGATAAATAAATATTTTTTTGGATGGTAATAATTTTCTGCAGATAATAATAATTATCTGATACATGTCTTACTATTTAACCCATAGGTGGGAGAAGCGGTAGATTCATATCTTTCCTAAGGGTATTTGCACGCCAGTGAATGTAGGGAACTCGACTGGAATTCGATTTTTCCTTCACCACCAAATATATTAAAATTAAAGACATTAATGATAATTGTTTCTTTCATTTTAAAAATGTCGATGTTATTTATTTATTTTTTTACAATGATTTTTTACGTGTAAAAGGCCCAAGAGCTCCTCGAGTTAGAGGGATATAGAGTAAAAGGCACAATTTGTGTGGATATATGGGAAAGTTAACGGTTAACCCTAGGCTTGAACAGGTTAAGATTGTAGATTGGAATTCCAAAATTTAAATTTAAATTGAAGTCAAATTCAGGAAAAATAAAATATGAATTTTGAAATGTTGATTTAATTTTTTTTTAAACGATAAAAATTTTGAAAATGTTTATAAAATTTTAACGTGGATTTAAAGCATTTTTTTACATACTAATGCTGCGAAAAATGGTTTATAAAACTAAAACGTTACTAAATAAAAAATTATTATAGTATATTATACTTTTTTTAATTTTCCAATTTCGAATATCACTTCGTTCTTAATGACAAATTATTAGGAAACCAAATCATTACACCACCCGCACATCCAAGCTTACAGAACCTGGTATTTCCAAGCGGTCACTTATCTAGGTACTGACCAGGCTCAACGTTGCTTAACTTTGGTGATCGGACGAGAAACGGTGTTTCAACGTGATACGGCCGTAAGCCTGCCTATTAATGACGTTACATAATTCAATAAAAAAAAAGTTTATTTTTAATGTTTATTATTACCAATATTATTTGTAAACATTCTCTCATTATTATTATTACCATTATTATTATTATTATCAATATTTTTTTTTTTTAATTATTTTCTTATATTTATGGCGTTTACACATCATGACACTTTCCATTGACAAAAAAAAAATTACATATATAAAGCCCTTAGTAAAGTGTGGGCTGTACTTGTCAGAACAATTTTTTGTATCTCCTTGAGGCATGGACTTCCAGGAATCCCTTCAATTAGTCTACTGCAATCTTTTCCAACCAGTTCTAGGGCTCCAACTACAACAGGGATTGTTGATGTTCCCACGTGCCACATTTTTGAGATTTCGATTTCAAGGTCCTTGTATTTTGACAGCTTTTTGAATATCTTCAAAGATACATTGCAGTCTACAGGGACTGTTATATCAATAAAGAGGCACCGTTTTTGTTTGTGGTCTTTAATAACAATGTCTGGGCGGTTGGCTTTGATTGTTCTGTCAGTGTGTATTGTGTTGTCCCATAGAATTGTTACAGGTCCTATCTCCGTAATCGAGTCTGGGTGGTGTTCATACCAGTTTCTTTCTTTCTTTCTTTCTTTCTTTCTTTCTTTCTTTCTTTTTCTTTCTATTATTATTATTATGATGATGATTTCCTTTGATTTCTGGTGTGTACTCATTTCTTTTTGGGTTCCGAACAGTGACCCTAAGGTCAGAAATGGCATCATGACATTTTCCACTGAAAAAAAAAATTACATAAATCGTAAAGTATGGGCTGTACTCGTGAGTACAATTTTTTTGTATTTCTTTAAGGCATGGGCTTCCAGGAATCCCTTCACTTAGTCTACTGGAATCTTTTCTAACCAATCCGAGGGCTCCAAGTACAACAAGGAGTGTTGATGTTCCCATGTGCCACATATTTGAGATTTTGATTTCTTCTTCTTCTTCTTCTTCTTCTTCTTCTTCTTATTATTATTATTATTATTATTATTATTATTATTATTATTATTCGAACATACGGGGTGGGGTTATGGCCATATCATATTAAAACATTGGTTCTCGTACGATTTCCGAAGTAAAGCAACATTGAGCCTACTCAGTACTTAAATGGGTGACCACTTGGCAATACAAAGAGCTGTAAGCTTGGGGTGTGCGGGTGGTGAAATGCATAACGGCTTGGAATTAATAATCGGAGACACGAGTTTCAATTCCAGTTGGGTTCGTTATGTTCATTTACGCGCAAATATCCTTGGGAAAGATATCAATCTACGGCTTCTCTCTCCAGCTATGGGTTAATTACTTGGATTTATATCAGTTCATCATTATTAGCGTAAAAAAACATTTTCTGATTTTAAATAATCCACAAAAGGTTGATAAACCGTAAAAAGTGAATGAATCAATCGAACATACAAGTATTATATAGGAAATTGAAAAATAAATTTAAAAAATACGTAAATTTAAAATAAATCTTACAGAGAAATAAAAATAAAAGAAAGGGGTAAAAGGGGTTATATATTTCGTGATTTATAAAATGCTAACAGTTTCCAGGATTTTCTAAAAGTAGAGTAGGCACACTTTGTTAAAAAATAGATATTCATACAGATATTTTTTAGGTGACAGACGTAATAGCTAAATATAATGTTCCCCATTTCTGAAGTATGGCTGTCCAAATAGGTATAAAATTATAAAAATCTCTCACTACTTCAAATGTCTGATTACTATCGTTCGTACACGACAAATTTACGTTAACAAAATGTTATATTCCGTGTTCAGGGAATAAACACATAACACCAAGTGGATACTAGAAGAAAGGTTTATTGTACACAAGTACAATATGAAATATGGTACAGTTATACACAATAGGTCAATCTAGTAGTGTATGCTACTAATTGGTAGGTCGGACGTGCTCGCGTCGTCTCGCTCTCACTCCTTCCTCCGAGTCTCTCGTAGACAGGTGGACTTCATAGGTACTTACTACCTATAGTGTAATCATTTATGGGGGTGACTGGTTATTCCATTACATCACTTCCCCACGAGCTGAAATTTTCCTCTAGAAAAATTTAGCTTCTAATATTTTCTTTTGTTTCTGGCTATGATTGTTTTTTAACTGGCAGTGATCTTGGAGCTAACTCACACCCAAATAACAATGGCGACGAGGATGTTGAAAACGAACTCACACCAATATAACAGTGGCGACGAGGATTATTGAAACGAACTCACGCGGAATATAACACAAAAATACATTAAAAATTGCAGCCATTAATGATAACTGTTGTTTTATTTTTAAAAATGTCGATGTTATTTGTTTATTTTTTAGAGTGATTTTTTAACTGTAAAAGGCCCAAGAGCTCCTCGAGTTAGAGGGATATAGAGTAAAAGGCACAGTTTGTGTGGATATATGGGAAAGTTAACGGTTAACCCTAGACTTGTACAGGTTAAGATTGTAGATTGGAATTCCAACATTTAAATTGAAGTCAAATTCAGGAAGAATAAAATAAGAATTTTGAAATGTTTTTTTTTTGTTTTTTTAAACGATAAAAATTTTGAAAATGTTTATAAAGTTTTAATGTGAATTTAAAGCTTTTTTTTACATATTAATGGTTCGAAAAATGGTTTATAAAACTAAAAAGTTACCAAATAAAAAATAATTTTTGTATATTTTATTGTTTTTAATTTCCAAATTTCGAATATCACTTCGTTCTTAATGACAAATTATTAGAAAAACAAATAATATAATTCTCCTGAAAATTAAAACAAAAAAATATACATGTGATCAAATGAATTTTATTACGATATCGAAAGAGGCATGTATTTATTTAAAATAAAAAAAAATATTTCCGCTTTCCCATTTTTTTAAAGAAAAACATTTTAATACATAATTTTACTCATCGAGGCAATCAGAACAGAAATTCTTTTAACTTTTATGAATTATTTTTGTAGAATTTTAAATTACGCGTCTTCAAATTCGAATTCAATTAAGTTTTAATTTCAGAATTAATTTTTCGAACATAATTAATTCTGTTATTATATATTTTGTACGAAAACGATTTTTTATACCAGTTTATTTTCGAATATTTCTTTTTTTCTAATCGTATCGATTTTACGAATGGAATTTTGGTTCCGAGAGTCAATTGGTCAAGACTCCTTGAAAATAGTTACTAGAAAAATATTTCAGAATTTAATTTTCTTAATGCTATAATTTCAAATTCGCTCCTCAGTACAATTGTACTTTGTCAAGAACGTTTTCCGTTCGCTTCCGACAGTACCTTTCTTCAAAAAGAACCCCCCCAAAACAACCATTTTTGACATGCCCACGTACAATCTCCAGCATTCCACGCATGTTTCTGTCACAGAAATTCTGATTCAATTTTAAATCCAAAACATACACAAATCATTGACACAAAAATTAGTGCAGATATTTAAACAGTTAAAAATGAAGAAAAAAAAATTTAATTTTGGAATGGCAGGTTAATAAACAATTTTTTGCTGGAATTTTTGTAAATAGTTATAAATTAATTTACAGTTCAGGCGACTCCATTTTCAGAAGCAAATCTGATAAAGTTTCATTGAATGCAGACGATTTCAAATCACGAATACAAACCATTTCATTTATCATGGCTGAATATAAATTTCGTAAATTTTAATAAGAAAATTCACAACGCAAAAGTATATAAAAGCATTTGTCGAGATTTTGAAACTCCTGATCTTTATATCTGTTTTCTTTTCCTACAAATAAATTAAATATCTCTTGTCATTTATCGTTTAACAAGCCTTTCATTATTCCTGAAGTTCTAAAACGAATTGTTTTCATTAGTCCATACGTTTTTAAAAACAAAGATGGACGCCAGCGTTCGAAAAAGTATTTTCTCCATTTTTTGTTTTAGAAAATAATGTTTGAAACCAACAAGTAAGACAGCGCTGCGCCAAAAAACGTTTCTGTTTTGTTAGCAGCGTTATTAAAGTTTTTTTTAAAGTATTTTTCCTTTGCAGGCTGTTGTGAATCAAGTGATATAAAACATTGGAACTTTAAAAATAATAAAAATATTTGTACATTAAAAAAATTGTATACAGGTATTTACTTAGATTAGCTTACTTAGAACTGGCGTAGAAAGATTCTGTTGGGCCAATCTTATCTTTGAGTCAGACTTCACTACCTGCATTGAAACTTAGCATTCGAAGACCTGGCTTTTAGGCATGGACGCATAATACTGACGTAGGAGGCAAATACACAAATATCCTTACCTCTAATTAATCCGGAAATATTATTCTTTATTCTGATATATATATATATATATATATATATATATATATATATATATATATATATATATATATATATATATATATATATATATATATATATATATATATATATATATATAGGTATGTTATATTTATGGGTAAAAGTGCTCAATATCAGAGATAGGGCGTGTGTAGATATAACATTATAAAAGTTGGCACTAAGGTCAAAAAGTGCAGTCTGGCCTGAAAATAGCTTCAAGCATGAAGTAGACTGATAGCATTCTGGCGTTGACGCCAGCGTCAACTTTTATATTTTTTTTCTTTCTTTCTTTCTTTCTTTCTTTTTTCTTTATATATATATATATATATATATATATATATATATATATTATAATTAATTGATTTAAAATATGTTTTTTTCGCGAAAAAACATATTTTAAATCATTTAATTTATAATATTATTGTTCCGTAAATTTACATTGGGCACTATTTTGTAAAAATAAAAATATCTATAAGAACACCGGATTATATATCTTTTACTGTTCTATCTTTTTATATATATATATATATATATATATATATATATATATATATATATATATATATATATATATATATATGTCTCTGATGAATTACATCCTGATTACGATTCTAATGCAATGTCTTGAAACGATATCTTTAGTGCATACCCGTGTTTGAAATACACTAAATATTTACTAAAAATACTGTTGGTAGAAAAAATATCGGATTGATAATAAATATATTAATTTTTATATATATATATATATATATATATATATATATATATATATATATATCGAGAGAGAGAGAGAGAGAGGGGAGAGAGAGGAGAGAGAGAGAATATTAAATAGCTCTGCATTTTCAATTTTTTGAACTGTGTATTGAGCACTTTTTAAAATATAACCGTTCCCCAGATAACATATACCTTGTTTGTAAAAGTTTTATTTATATATATATATATATATATATATATGTATGTGTGTGTGTGTGTGTGTGTGTGTGTGTGTGTGCGTGTATTAATAATCTTTTACATCTTTTACCTAGAGATATTTTATTAAGCTTCGTTCAATGTCCAAATGTTGAGAAACAGTGATAGTAAGATTGTGTTGCGCCAATGTTCTTTGTAGAGAAGTCCTGCTTCTCTTGCAAATCAGTATTTGACGCTATGGCTTTGCCACCATGATCAAATACCGACAACCTGTTTTAAGGGAAAATAAAACGCAACTCTTGACTAGAGGCAGCCCACATGTCACATCTAATTTCAAAATATACACATATCGATTTAGTTGATTTTTAACTGTCGTTTATTTAATTGTCTATATATTTTTGGTATTTTTTTTTGTTTTGTTTTTTTTTTTGGCCCCCAATTTTAATGAAGCAATTCTGTTCATACGTCACCGGTATTGATCGTACTGATTGAATCCTGTCTTGAGGTCCTATTAAAAACGGTGTCACGCAGTTTGTAAAAGAGAAAATGAACAATTTGAAGAAGTGGCGTCACAAAGAAAACAAGGGCAACAACAAGAATCAGACACCGAATTGGGTGGTTCCAGTCGAGCATCCCTTCGTAGATAATATTGTGCTTCATATCGAAAGACCAATAACTAATATTAAAAATCATATAAAGAAGGCCGTAAAGAATTGGATAGAGAGCGTGAAGCAGGCGAACCGGGTAAGCAGACAGGGCAACCTCCATTAATACTAAAAGAGTATTAAGACCATGGACACTGAGGTCCTCAAACGAAATTCCTAGCGCCGCTTTCCGGTCCTCAGGACTCAAGTTCGGGTAGACAGCACCAAAAAACACCAACGTGACCACAATCGCTGAAACGAACGTTATATTATAGAACATCCAAGACAGTTTCATATACCAAGTGGTTTGATCAGTATTTTCGATAAAGACGGCCGATTCGACACTTTCTTGCGTTTCTAGGACTGGCCGGTCTAATACATCGCCTATCGTGGAAGAAGCCGTTAGTTGAACGGCAGCGGGAGGCGGTGGTGGTTTAACTCTGCCATCCTTACGTAAACGAGACCTCGCAATGACGGTAGTGTAGTTAGAAACATCTATGTCGCCTCGATATCGTTTGTAAGTCCAATAGCAAGTAATGATGGCCGCCAAATGGAAATGAAGGACTAAAACTATATAAGCCCACGTAGTGAGATAAGCCATCACGTTGTGGTCAGTGTCCGGGTCATTGCTAGTTGAAATGATGTAGTTGACCAGGCAGGAGACGGTGAAAAAAGCCGTCAGTAATCGGTATAAAACAAAAGCCGGACTCAGACGCTGCCACTGAAAAAAGAAAAGAAAAAAGAAACAAATATTATAATTAAATGTCAAAAGAATTATTTAACAAAAGAATTTTGTAGAATTTTGAGTAACATGTTAATAAAGGTTTTTGATTTCGCTGTTTACGTATGCGCGGAACTAAAGGCCAGTGAGAATTGATTAGTCAATTGGGCAAATTATGTTTCATTCTTATCAGTGGTGACAACTTACCTTACATTGTCTGCTCAACATATTTTTGTTTCAACCCTGCCGAACTTTTAGGAGACTATTAAAAGAACTTGCAAGTAATAAACTTACAGGCAAGCAAATTTTAAACAACTAGGCATATGAGGGTCAAGCAGATCAGTTCCCAGGAAATCGACAGCCCAACAACAGCACCTGAGATTTGATTATAGTGGTAAAGGTTTCGTGCAGGACCATCCACACTTTTTGAACGGCCGAATACAGAGACTTGGTGCCCTATGTGCCACAAAGCCCACAAACGACACCCCTCAGGTTTTGAATTCAGAGTTGTCCTTCTCCTAAACCAGTTGCCATTCAAGGCTACAGAACCCAGTGTATCCTGCTATCTACCCATAGCTGGAGGGAGAGACGATTCACACCTTTCCCAAGGGTATTAGTACGTAAGTGAATGTATCCATTGCTCCACCGTGCTTTCATATATATATATATATATATATATATATATATATATATATATATATATATATATATATATATATATATATATGTATGTATGTATGTATGTGCCTAGTTGTTTAAATATTGTGATATCCTAAAATAAACATATATATATCTATATATCTATATCTATTTATATATATATATATATATATATATATATATATATATATATATATACATCGAAAACGTGTCAAAATCACTACAAAATTGCGGTCGTGTTTCGATGCGCACACAATACATCATGTAAATTACAATCGCCTGATGAGATGCGTTTATGGCGCATCGAAACGCGACTGTTGTTCACTATTTACATTATTCTTTGTCGCCATATTTATTACAATGTTTCGGCCGTTGAACGCACCGGCCTTCAGTGACTAGACACAAAGAGTTATGAGTCCAACATCAATGAACCAAAAAGCGATGAGTTAAAGGAAAATAACTGAGACATCCGGACGAGGCATGACACGTGGGCGAAATAAAGGGTTCGGTTCGAAATGCCTATTAACTGAAGAAGTCAGAGAGTACAACGGCCGAAACGTTGTGAATATGGCAATGAAGATGAGGATAACAGTCCGAATAATATAAATAATGCAAGTAATCATAATACGTCATCTCAGAGAGATAGACAAAAATTAAATTATTTCGTGTGTTTAAATAAACACGAGTATGTATGTATATATCTACTCAAGATAATATTTGAGAAATGCTCTAATCTTAGAATTTATTTGATAAAATTCTTTGAACTCCAACCTTTACCATACATAATCTTTCTTTGCATCTTTAAGGATAAAGTGTGAACAAAAAACAAGCGACCACTTAATTAAGAGAGGCAAAGAGTGCAGGACGGCCACGAAAAATGTTGTAGTGTTGTAGTTGGTCGTTAAAACGTGATGTACTGGATGAAGAGAAGAAAGAGAAAAATGAAAGGAGAAATGGCGGCTTTGAGGGAGAGAAAAAAAAAAAAGAAAGGGCGCGTTTGTAGAAGACAT